AGAATCAACAACTGGGATCTCATCTTACTAAAAAGCTTCTGTACTTCAAAAGAAACCATTAGCAGAACTAAGAGACAATCTACAATGTGGGAAAAAATTTTTACCAGCTGTACCTCAGACAAAGGACTATTATCAAGGATATATAAAGAACTCAAAACAATCAGTCCCCCCAAATATAAAGACCCGATCCAAAAATGGGCATCCGAAATGAACAGACATTTCTCATACAAAGAAGTGAAAGCAGCAAGAAAATATATGAAAAAATGTTCCACATCACTGGTCATTCGAGAGATGCAGATGAAAACAACACTGAGATTCCATATGAATTTTAAGATGGATTTTTCTGTTTCTGAAAATAAAATGTAATTGGTATAATGATAAGGACATTCAATCTGCACTTTGGATAGTAATTTCATCCTAACAATATTAAGTCTTCCAATCCATGAACATGGGGTATGTTTGTTTCCACTTACATTTTCCTTCAATTTTTTTTTTAGCAGCATTTTACCGTTTTCAGTTTATAAGGCCTGTGCCTCATTCGATACATTTGTATCTAATTAATTAATTACTTTCTTCTTTTTTGCACTAGAGATGGAACCCAGGGCCTTTGCACTGAGTTACATCTCCAACACTTTTTTATTTTTATTTTTTTACTTTAAGACACACTCTTCCTAAGTCATTAAATTGCCCAGGTTGGATCCAACTTGCAATTCTGCCTCAGTCTCCCAGAGTGCTTGGGTTACAGGCGTACAGCACCACACTCTGTTTTTCTAAGTAATTTATTCCTTTTCATGATACTGTAAGGGGAATTCTTTCCATAAAATTTCTTTTTGGATAGTTCACTGCTAGTATATAAGAATACAAGTTATTTTGCAGATCTCAAATCCTGCAAATTTGCTTTATTTGTATATTAGGCTCCTACAGTTTTTTGTGGAATTTTGTTTTCTACATGTAACACCATATCAACTGCAGATAGATAATTTTATATCTTTCTCTCCAATTTTGAAGTCATTTGTTTCTTTTCCTAGCCTAATCCCCCTGGCCAGGACTTCAGGTACCACACTGAATAGAAGTGGTCTTATTCTTTACCTTAGGGGAAAGCTTTTCAATCTTTCACCATTGAGTATGTTAGCTATGGGTTTATCACAGATGGACTTTTATCATGTTGACTCACAGAGTTTCTAAACTGTGCTATTTTATAATTCTAAGAAAGAACCCTCAAAATTGCAATGATATCATGCAGAAGACATTATCAGTATTACAAAGATGGACAGTCCAAACTCTTGACATGAAAGTGAGGGTTCAGAATGCACTGTTATTTTACATGAAGTTAGAAATGCTGCAAGACAACACTACACATAGTCAGCAATCCTGGGTGCTGAAATCAGAGTGTATGTCTATGTACATATTCTTTTCAGTCTTAGCTCAGTGAGACATAATACCAAGACTGAGTGGCTTCAATAACAAAGATATTTTCTCAGAGTTCTGGACACTGGCAGTTCAAGATCAAGTGTGCAAACACCACTGGATTCCAGTTGAGGGCTCTCTTCCTGCCTGGTGAATAGCTTTCAGTGTGTAGTGTCCTTATACTGTAGAGATAGAACAATCTCTTTATTCCTTATTAGGCCACAATCCCATCATGTAGGCCATACCTCTGAGACCTAATTTAACCTTAATTCCCCAAAATCCCAGGTCCAAATGCTATCACAGTAAGGACTGAAGATGGCACAACAAATATTTAGTTCATAACATGCTCTTTCAAGGAACAATTATAGCCAGGCATGGTGGCGCACACCAGTAATCCCAGCACTTGAGAGGCTGAGGCAGGAGGATCACTGCAAGTTCAAGGCCAGCCTGGACTACATAGTGAGACCCTGTCTCAAAGCAAACAAACAACATTAAAAAAAAAAAAAAAGAAAAAAATGATGAAGTTAGCAGCATTATTCTGCACACACATATATTAAGTAGGGTTTAATCATCTATCAGAATGCTTAATTTAAGCCTTACTTATACTTACAAAATTTGGAGACAAGTTATGCTTATAAAGCTGAAGAGTGGAATGAAGCAGGTTGGAAACAAGACTGGACACCAACACTTCTTTTCCCAGCTTGTTATCTGTCACTCGTCTCTGGCTGCTAGCCACTTGGACAGTCCATTTATCCATATCAGCTATAATACAAACAGCTTCTGCTATTGGTTCATCCAAAACTGGATGCTAAAAAGAAAAAGAATTCAACATATAATAAAGTTTTTAAATATAATGCAAAGGCAGGGAGGTAACAAAGAGTAAACAAAAGCAGAAAAAATACATATTAAATTCTAAGGGTTGGTGATACATAGTTCACATGTTAGAATACTTGCCTGACTTTGATCTTAGCACCACCAAAACCCCCTCAACAAAAAACCTGGATATTACATTCCTACAGCTACTTCCAGAGAAATCCTTGTCAGAGAAGAATGAAATAATTAACTCAATAACAATGAGATATCATACAAAAATCATCATAGGTAGAAACTTTATATTCATTACTAAAACTCTGTTCTTCAATATACAACATTCTTTCACAAGTCTGCTGATCATTCATTCATTTTACATACCACTGAGTGAAACTATGTGCCAAGTAACTAAAATGAAATGTTTTTTAGATTGAAACAGTTAAACTTAAAAGTAGTAGTACGCATATTCATACAAACAAGTCAAGGGTAATAGTCTGTGCTATCAGGCATTCATAAGCCTCAGCATCACTAGGGCTGGCTATCTCTTACTAACATGAAGGTGCAATGTGCCTAATCTATGCAAAATACCACACCTTATTACTGGTATATAAACATTACTGTCACTTTCACTAGAGCCAGAGAAACAGAACCTCCTATTAAATATAGTGGTACCTCAGTTCACAAACAAGCCTTTTCACAATTCTTGATCAAATTTCCCCACAAGATCAACATTGAATCTAACCACTGAATTTTATTCAGTTCTTGTCCAATTTGACTCACAACCTGAATCAACAAAAGAATTAAATTCATGAACTGAGGTACCACTGTATGCTATGCTAGAATATATAAGCAGTAAGTGGCCATGTTTGGATTATGTAAGAAGCCTAAATGACTGGAATAAGTTTTTATATTAAAAATGGCTGCCGCAACTTGAGATTACTCAAGTGAAATAAATTGGACACATGTGTAAATATCATGTTCTCTCTGTTTTAAGAAACTGAAAGAGTAAAAAAGGACCAAAATGTATAACAGACAACGTGAAACAGGAACAAACTGTTCAAAAGGAAAGAGGAGGCAGTGGGAAAGAAGGGAAAAGAAAACAAGAAAAGGAAGATAAAATGGAAACAAAGCTTTGTAAATTAGGCGGGAGGGAGAACTGAAGGGAGGGGAGGGGACTGCGAGAAAAGGAGGAATGAAGATATACCACTTACAGGTAAATTCCCTATAATGAATGTGATTATTATGTATATTTAAGTTGTACCAATAAAGTCAATTTTTTTAAAAATGGCTGCCATTACATTGTAGAATTAAGAAAGTTTGTGTCTGATTTTCTGTATATTCCAAAACTTTGTATAATAAATACATTTTGATTTGGTAGTTTATTTTGTTTTGAGAAAAGGACTCAGTATGCAGCCTAGGCTGACCTTGAACTCAAGGTGATCCTCCTCCCTCAGTCTCCTGAATGCTGGGATTTCAGGCATGCACCACCACAACCAGAATCATTTGGTAGTTTTTTTAAATGCTACTTTAGAAACTGGGAAGAAAGAAAAAGATAGTTTTTGAACGCTAGATGGGCAGAATGAGGCCTAACTGGACCTCATGAGCAGTGTGAAGAAAGAGGGTGTGCAAGAGTGCTAACACGCTGCAGAGAAAGTAAGAACAGGAGGGTAAGTTGTTTACCTGAAGAAGTAACGTGAAGGGTGGGAGACTTCAGAAGAGTCCTGCGGAGCTCTAATTGCTCGTGCCGGTCCGAGTGACTAAAGCCACCGTGCGCCAGTCTTATGTCAAAGGGAGACCTGAGCCCCCTGCCACCCCGTATTTTAACCGGAGTTCTATGTCTCATAACTTTCCGTCCCTGCCACCCCTTGGTCAGGTTCAAGCTCATAGGCCGGTTCCTACAGACACTCTAAGAGGGCACTGTACCAGTGAGCAACATTACCAACTGTTTTTATTTGTCATGGAAAGAAACAGTGAAACTGTTATGGAAAGAAACAGGCCTGGGGCCAATAATTTTAGTCCTGCAAACTCCTTAATGTTAGTTTTGCTACTTGTATTAATCTTTGCTTATTTGTTTCTGACACAGAATGGCTTGGTAGCAGGATCAGCAATAAATTCTAGTTTTGCCATTCCCAATCTATGTAACTTAAAATTTCTACAGATTCATAACAATGATATAGGGATGATAATAAGCACCTCAAAAGATGACTAGAAGACTGAGGCAGTAAATTTTTTAAGTGCCCAACGCACTTCCCAGTACCACCATAAAAAATAGAAAAGACAAGAGGACAGAGTGTAGTAGGACTCTTGATTCCATAACCAAGTAAATTCAACAAACACTGAACACCATTATTAGGCACAGGGTAGTGCATCGCACCAGAAAATAACAAACACGGTCCTTCCCCTAAAGGACAAATACCACCAACTGACATACATGTAAATTCTATCCTCTAAAGTAGTATTCTGCACTTATATTTGGCCTTATTGTCTCCATTACTAAATAAAAAAGAGAAAAATGCATTTTCATCCCCATATCACTTGTAGTATTGGCACTACGTTCAGAACAAAGAAGGTCAGTAAATACTTATCTGGTTGGTATTAAAATGTTGAGCAAAACAGCTTTTAAATATGAACAGAAATTTTGATAAAAGTTTCTTCATAAACTTTTTCAAGCTAGATTTGCCATAATTTCTCTACTATATAATAAAACACCAAAATTTGCACTTTTATGTAACTTTCTGCAGGCACAGGAGGCTTAAACCTTTTTTTGCTAACAAATAAATGACTTCCTGTTTTCTCAGCCACAATTTCTCACCTATGATTTCCTAGTTGGCTTTCTCCAGGTAAGGAACTTTATTTAAAAATGAAATTATACGTGCAACTGAGAAGAGATAGTTCAAAACTGACTGAACCAAAGAAAAAAAATCAGCAGAGACATTAAAGATGAGATAAGGCTACGCACCACCTTGGCCAGATGTATCTGTAAAATACCTCACCCAACAACAGCAGCATGTGTATTCTTTTCAAGCGCACATGGAATATTCTCCAGGAAAGACTATATGCTGAGCAATAAACAAGTTTGAATAAATTTAAAAGAGCTGAGGGCCAGGGTTTTAGCCTGCCTCACAAGCAAAAGGTCCCGCGTTCGATCCTTGGTACCCAAATATAAAATAAAATAAAAGAGCTGAAATCATGAAAACTATGTGTTCTCTGACCATAAAGGAACTAAATTAGAAATAACCACAAAAGGAAACTTGAGAACTCAACAAAAATTTACAAATTAAACAGAATTATTTCTAAATAATCCATGGGTCAAAAAATTAACAAGTAAATTTAAAAATATTTTGAAGTAAATGAAAATGAAAACACAACAGATCAAACTTTATAAACTTCAATTAAAACAGTTTGCAGAAGAAATTTTACAGCTTTAATACCTAGATGAACAAAGAACTCTCACTAATATATGCTTCCACCATAAGACACTAGAAAAAGAATAAATTAAACCCAAAGCTAGCAGAAGAAAAAAATAATAAAAAACTACAGTGAAAACTGATGAAATAGAAGAATCAATGAAAAAATTTGATGAAAAGATCAACAAAAGTAGCAAACCTTACTTAGAATGAGAACCAGAAAAAAATTTCTCTAAAGAGTTAAACAGAAAATATTTAGGCTATGAGGACTAAAATGCTTGTCTCAGTGATTCAACTCCAATGTTAAGCATAACAAAACCCCATAAAGTATGCAAGTAAATGGCTGTGGTTGTGCTGCAATGAAACTTCATTTACATAAAGAAGGGTCACTTTAGCTCATGGGTAAATAGCTTTGAAGTGGGTAAAATGATATCTACAATTTAAACCAAACCATGAATGAACACCTCTCTTTGGAGAAGACCCAACTTTTCAGAGAAATAACAAACACAAAAGACAGATAACAAAACAAACTTCACGACACAGAGCATTACTAGTAAACATGTAGAAACTTAAAGGATTATAAATGTATACTATGCGCAACTTTATGCAAGTAAATTTGACCACGAAAATTATTAAGTGGGACAAATTCCTAGAAAGACAAAAATTACCAAAACTGGGTTTAGAATATAGTTCAGTGGTACAGTGCTTGTCTAATATGTATGAAGCCTTGGGTTTGATGCCCAGCACCACAAAAACAAACTCAAGAAGAAATAAAAAATGGAAATGGACAAAATAAAGACAGTGAATTTTCAGTTTAAAATATGCTGCTAGGGGTGAGGGTAGTGGCTACCATGGCTAGCACATGCTATACATAATCTACCACAGAGCCACATTCACAACTTTAAGAGATCCCCATCTTAAAAAGCCTAGGCCCAAATGGCTTCACTGGTGAATTTCTATCAAAGAGAAAAAAACAGCTGAAAATTCTCTAAGAACAATTCCATAAAATTAAGGAGGAAGAAATAGTTCTCAATTCATTCTCTGAGGTCTGTAGTAATAACCCTAATATCAAAGCTCGACATGGGCCAGGGATTTGAGTCAGTGGTTCCACCACCTGTTTCCAAGTGCAAGGTCTGCAGTTCAATCCCCAGTACCAAAAAAGAAGGATTCTTGCTCAAAGCTTGACAAAAACATTACAAGAAAACTAAATACTTCTCATGAATACAGAGTCCAACATCAAGAATGGGCATGGCAGTGCACACCTATGATCCTAACATTCTAGAAGGCTGAGGTAAGAGGATATCAAGTTTGAACCCAGCCCAGGCAACTTAGCAAGACCCTTTCTTAAAATAAAAAATGAAAAGGGCCAGGTTGGAGATGTAGTTCAGTGTGAAGACCCGTGATTCAATTCTCAGTACTCACAAAACAAACAAAAACTGAATATAAAAATAGTTATATACCATGATCAACTGCAACTTTTCCCTAAGAAAACAAAGTTTGGTTTACCTTCTAAAAATCAATCAACATAATCTGTAACATTAATATATGATCATATCACTAGACAACAAAAAAAGTAATTTGACAAAATTCCACACCTATTCATGGTTTAAATGGTGAGGGGAAAAACAAAAGAAAAAAAAAAAAAAGAAACCTCAGAGACTATGAGTAGAACTGAATTTCTTCCATCTAATAAAGGTGTCTATAGAACACCACAAATAATGTATTTAATAATAAACCACTCAATGTTTTCCCCTAGGACTAGGAATAAGACAATGATATATACTGCCACCATTTCTATGCTACATGATACTAAAGTTTCTAGTCAGTAAAATCAGGTAAAAAGAAAAAAACAAAACAAAAGCAAACAAAAAAAACAAAAAAAAACAAAATTTAAAAGAAAAAGAAAGGAAGGAAGGAAAGGAAAAGGGGGAGAGATGAAGGCACCAAGATGAAATATAAAAAACTGTTCACTGATGACATGTACTCATGTAGAAAACCATAAAAAGTCTATACAACAAACTAATAGAATAGTAAGAGTTCACAAAGGTCATAGGATACAAGATTAATATATAAAAATCAAGTATACTTTTATATATAAAAGCAATAAATCTGGAGGCTCAGTGGCACTACACCTGCTGGGCAAGCACAAGGTCCTGCATTTAATCTCTGGTACTGAAGAAGAAAAAAAAATCTGAAAAGAAAATTGAGAAAATAATCATGTTCCAATCAAACATTTCCAATGTTTTGATATTATAAATAATCTAGTCACTGTACTTATAATGTATACCTACTATACTTTCTGTATTTCAGATTTCCACCTTGCCAGATTTCTGGAACTCCACACTTGCTTTCACAGTGACCGGTACAAAACTACAGGTGCTACACATACAAGGATGGATTCAGAGAACAATGTGCTACACAATCGTGTGTGATCAAAATACAAGGTAATTCAGGGTTCTGCTGGTTAAAAGACTTCATCCTGAATAAATTCAAAAACAGTGACAGTCACTCACCTGCACAGCATGAGATAAATCTGACACCAGACACTGACGGAGCCTCTCATCACTCCCAATTCCTTGAAGAACAAAGTCAGGCACGTAAGATGAGCAGTAGCCACCCAGCAAGGACCTCCCGAAGTTAGCAATGTTGGGCTGAACAGCACTCACTTCAATTAACTTTGATCTGGAAGAAAGATTCCCAAGAAAGGCAAATCTAACTAGTAATAAACATATTTTACCAGATAAAAAAATTCTTTGAACTGCACTAGTCTGTATTTATAGTTCCATTATTTTCTACAAAACAGCATAAAATCATCCTTGAATAAAATCTGGCTCAGGTGCTCAAACATCTTAGCAGGACAGAAAGGCTTTGTAAATAAGTCTGTAATGAAGTAAAGTATGACTCTTTCTTAGAAGACTTTAGGGGAGCTGTCCCTGTGTTCATGACACACCTCCAATACAAGTAGCTTAGGAAAATCATCATCCATGTCAAAGTAGCTAAAATTATCACAAGTCTAGATCTAGGTATATAACATGTCTGAAACATGATTTTCCTTCTTGAACAAGCCGTGATAAACATGGTAATGTTTACATTTTTTAAATTTTATTAGAGTAAAATATAAATTGTCATTAATCTCCCTCAAAATTCTCCTTCATTTCAAACACATCCCATTATTCTTGCCACTCTCTAAAGCAGTTCTGGAAGTCCTCTTTCATAAGTGTCTTTAGTTGTGCTGTCATGGCTCTCTTAAAGAGAAAGAAGTTGCATGGTGCCAGATATGGTGAATAAGGTAGATGAGGAAAAACCATGATGTCTTTAGGAGTCTGCCCTTCCACTGGATGGTACTTGGCGGCAGAAGTCACTGTATTTTTGATCACGCTTCAAAAGATACTCCCAAAGCAGGCTGGTGATTCAGCTCAGTGGTGCCACCACCTGCCTCACAAGTGCAAGGTCCTGAGTTTGATCCCCCTTACCAAAAAAAAAAGATACTCCCAAAGGACTTCCACAACTGCTTCAGAAAGTGGCAAAAGGGCAGGGATTTAGCTCAGTGGTGCTGTTGCCTACCTCACAAGCACAAGTGCCTGAGTTTGATCCCCAATACCAAAAAAAGAGAAAAGAAAGTGGCAAGAATATAAATGTACTTGAAACGAGGGAGAATATTCTGAAGATTTACCACAGTATGTTTGTCTTTTATTTAATTAAATGTTCAGCAACTTTTGATCACACTATATACTTGACTGACAGTGCATATTCTTTGTTTTCATCTTACTGAGTCTTGGCCAAATTTATTTGCAATAGCTACTTCCTACCTTTTCAGTGATTACCTCTCCCCAACTGCCAGACTTGATGCAGGCCCATTTTGGAAGCATAATTCACTCCAAAATGCCTTAAAAACTCCTAAGTAGTACACAATATCCTACATGTCAACAAGATCCTTTAACTTTTTTCTGATGCCTTTTACATAGGCTTGCTGGGGTGATTCTGGGACTTTCTAGTAGTGAGTACATATAATAGTAAAAAAAAAGTTTGCCAGGACAATGATCTCTTTTTTGATATTGGGGCTACTACCAACCTTCAGAGAGCAGTTAAACAAAAGAATGGTAGATATTTAGATAGGGCCTATCATAAATGAAAACTTGCTACTTACCCAGGAAAAGGGATCTCGTCCTCTTCTGCCCAATCTTCTTGCTCTCCTCCATAGTAACTGCTGACTTGTCTGGTCATATCATGACCTGTATCTTCACTTTCACTATCCCCAAGGGCACTATCCGAACTTTCATTTCTTGGAATGTCCCATTCAGTTCCCACAGCAATTTTTTTCTCTGCACTCTCTTTGTCCCCATGGGGGACAAGAATGGAGTATGTATCTCTTTGGTCTTGCTGAGGAAAGCAAGTTTTACATGAATCTTGGTGAACAGTTTCTATACATTTACAAAATTCATTGTTTTGTTTGTTATTTTTTGTACATAATCTTTTTGAAAACTCTAACATACAGCAGTGTTCTTTACTGTCTGTACTTATTTGAACCGGAACATCATCAATAGTCCTTGTCTCAATTGAATCATCATTAAAGTATTCATCAAATAAGCTCATGTTCTCTGGGTCTGAATGACTCCAACAGGGAAGTTCACCAGGCTCTCCAGAAACCATGTTCTGTATATCAGACTCTCCAGACTGGTCCTCAGTTGTCTGTTTAGTTTCTTGATGCTTATCAATAGTCCCTCTGTCCTCCTTTAATGGTTTGGTGTGATGTCTGGTTATCTGATCCACTACTGCTTGACTCCTCAGTTCAGTATCTGAATCAGGTGACATAGAATCTCCAATCAGGAAAGTAACCTTTGTCTGGGTTACATCACAAGAAAGCAGAGGAGGCATAGTCTTATCTGGAGGTTTTTTTTCCACAACTATTCCTGTGGCTCTTATTTCTTTGCCTGGGTGGTTGTCTGAATCCAGCAACTCCTTACCCTGCCATGTTTCCTCTGTTGGCTCTGAGCCTCTCTCTGACAATATGCACTTGTCTACTGGAGCAGATCCCGTGCAAACAAAAGTCTCTAACTTAGTGTCAAGACAAGTTCTTAATTTATACTGTTTAACATCAACAGCATTTTCTTCTTGGCAGTCAGAAGGAGAAATCATTCGGCATTCATTTGAAATTCCTAGCAACTCCTTAGAATTGTTTTGAATATCTTCTTTCTCTTGTTGGGACGCATTCTCTATATTCTGCCCAAGGAGTGGATGACTGCAGTATTTACAGTTACACTGAGGCATTTTTGTCTCTTCAGACTCCTTTAAGAGCAAACTGCTTTTGTTTCTATGCATTGTGATAAGGACATACTCTGATTCCTCAATTTCACCTTTTTCTAAAGTGGTTGTAATCACTGTGCCTGGCATAACAATGGCTTCATCTTCTCCATTTTCTAAAAGATGAGTTTCTTGAAGTTCAGAGCATCTTATGAAATAAGTAAGAAAATAAAGCAGCCTATGAACCATATCTTGTCGTCTGCCAACCACCACAGTCCTTGCTAACCGTACAGGAGAGCCAATAGCGCCATACAGATCTCCTGCAAAAAAGGAACCAGGTAATGGACACTTTTACTCCCACATTTAAGAGGATATTTTCAATTATGAGAAACCCACTCTTACAGTATGAAGATGTTCGGTTCAAGTTTTGCTATCTGTTATTTAACAGATGGCGGACTATTCAGGACAGCATGGTAAGATGAATGATTTTAACCATAGAGAAAGATGAATGATGATTTTCTAGCTTCTTCTTTTCTTCTTTTTGTACCGGGGATCAAACTCTGGTCCTTGCACTTGCAAGGCAGGTGGTGGAACCATTGAGCTAAATCCCTGGCTCTAGCTTCTTCTTTAAAGAGCAGCTGTTGCTCTGAATCCAAAGAAGTTTCAGAAAGTTACATTTACATGTGCAGGGATTTAGCTCAGTGGCACTGTGCCTGCCTGGCAAACAAAAGGTCTTGAGTTCAATCCAAAAAGAAAGTTACATTTACCAGGAATATTTCCAGAAATACTAGATACACAAGGTTTCTGAAGTTGTATGTCTAATGTACAAAAGAGAAAGCACAGTGACTGCTGATAGGCACAAGGAGGAAAGGAACCATGGGGGCCAGGAAAACAGCTAGAGGAGTCACATCGTTCATTGCTCTATTTATACTATCGCTCAATTAAAACCAAAATTTGGTGCAAAACAACTTAAAACTGCAGAGTACAAAGCCACTAATATAAATCAAATTTTGGGGGGGGGTACCTGGGATCAAACTCAGGCCCTTGTGCCTACAAGGCAGGCAGTGGCACCACTGAGCTAAATCCCTGACCCTCAATTTGAATTTTGCAAGTTGTCAGTATACACATTTAAAACCTTTATTTTTACTTTATAAAACTCTCTTTGTGAAGAAACAAACATAAATAGGTCTAAATAAATATATGCTGTTGACAGTATTATGATAATTTTTTGCTTCTAAGACACTGCTTCATTATCACAGTGCTACTGTTCCAAATCAATCCCAAAAGTCTAATTATCAAATAAATTAAAATTACTTTGGCAGGGCAAGTAAGTCTTTTATTACAAAACCCACTTTACCCTTCCAATTTTACCTTCTTACAGTTACTCTTTTTCACCTTTACTGTACACAAAGCCTCACTTAAACTATACCACTGAAATATGCTTGGGGGAGAGGGAGTGCTTGGGATTGAACCCAGTCACACTAGTCGAGCAATACACCACTGAGTGACACACCAGTGTGTTTTGTTATTTGGCAGTATTGCGCACTGAACCCAGGGCCTTTGACCTAGGCTGTATCCGCAGCCATTTATTTTTTATTCTGAGACAGGGTCTCAATAAATTGCTAAATTGCTCAGATTGGTCTCAAACTAAGATCCTCATACCTTAGCCCCTCAGAGTGCTGAGATTACAGGCATGAGCCACCATATCCAGATTCAAGCGTCGTAAAAATTTTGAGACAGTCTCCCTAAAGTACTTCGGCAGACCTGGAACTTGTGATCCTCATGCCTCAGCCTCTTGATTAGATGGGTTTAGCAGGTCATGACCCACTATGCTTTGTACTCTTAACACCTAGACTCCTTTGACTCATGCTCTGTACACTTTTCCCTTATCTCTGCTTTTCTAAAGGTTTTCATCCAAGTACAGTCACTTACACAAAAATAAGTTCATATTGAACTCTCACTGAATTTCTCTTGTATTTCCTTCCTAAGTTATACTTATTGTCTAGATATACATTACCTATAGTAACAGACTGCCAACCTCTTTTTGGTTTGGTTTGGTTTTTTTTTGAAACAGAGTCTCAATATGCAGTTCCGGCTAGCATTGAACTTGAAGTAGTCCTCCTGCCTTAGGCTCCAAATTCTGGAATTATAGGCGTGCACCACCACACCCAGCATAGACTGTCAAATTCTTCAGGGCAAAGACCAAATTATTCATCTTTATATCCACCAGCACTTTTTGCACAGAGCTATTAGATGTATTATTATGCACTCAAAAAAAACAAAAAGAATGCAGAATTAAAAAGATTTCTCAATTTAAAAACTACTGCATTATCTGACTAAAAAAGTTGAATGAGCATCTAGCATTAAAAGGAAATGATCTATTAATATATACAACATAGGTGATTCTTAATTATACTGAATGAATGCAAGAAGGAAGGAAGGTTGGTTGGTCACAGGAGTTGGTAAGCCACAATATAAAGCTACTTGGCATACTTAAAGACTATCACAAACTATGCTAAATTTCTACTGGGTTACCAAAATGTTCTCATCTAACTCTTCCCCCATCACCAAATATAAACCAACAAAGAGAAAGCAGCTACTTTTACCAACATTGCTCTTTACAACATATACTATAAGCACTTCACATGTATTACTTCACTTAATTTTCCTGTCTTTTGAAAGTATGGACTATTATTTATCCTCATTTTATAAATAAGGATAATACTTGGAAGGCTGAGGAAGGAGGATCTCCAGTTCATAGCCAGCCTGGGCTACACACCAAATTCAAGGGTAGCCCGAAGGATCTGTCTCAAAAACAAAGACAAAAAAAAAAAGTATTACTCAAATGGGGTATACATGATTTCACAGCCTGCACTTTTAGCATTATGCTTCCTAGTGCACAGGGTTTATCAGTCATCTGCTTTTTCCTTTTCCCCATTTATTTAGTGGTGCCAGTATTAAACAATAAACATTTTCTAAATGACTCTTTGAACAAAAAGTAATACAAACCTCAACAAACTGTTTATCTGTTAATTAGATTTCTAGCAATCATAGGTGACTGCTGATTGGGTCTGTCTGGGCAAAGCACATAAAGAATGAAAACAAAAAACACTCTTAAACCCTGAAGTTACTAGTAAACCATCTCTCAGACCCCAACTTCTGTTCCACTTGCAGTTCTCTGCCCAAGATGAAAGAACTATTTAGCAGACAGAAAAGGACAAGTACAGGACAAGTAAAGAAGAGACACTTGAGAATGAAGGAAGTAAAAGAGGATTTCTGCGATAATTGCTGGCAGCTACCCAAAACGCTAACTGTAATACATAGTTTACAGACTACATACCCAGCTGTGCCCAAAGTGGGTTGTATGGATGAGTCTTTGCCAACATGTCCACGCTCTGAGAGGAATGTTTTTCTAAAAATATTTTTATAGGTGGTTGTCCATTTGGCATGACTGTTGGAACCCAGGCAAGATGATTGGTCAAAACTGCAGTAATGAGAGCTGGCAAGAATCTGAAAACAAATACATCCTATCAGATTCCAATCTACCTTCATAAAACTGTATGTAAAATATTTTAACTCAGTAAGTACAGAGAGTATATATTTTCATGTGACCAAATAATATAAAAAAGGACAAGAGAAAAGAAAGATCAAGTATACAACCAAGGATGAAAAATAAAGTTAATATTTTTTTCCTTGTGGAGGAGTCATTACAATAAATCCCTAAAAGAAAATGTTCACAAGGAGATATTTCACATCATAATTACCAAATAAAGTGCTTTCTTCATGTGTGGCACTAGGAATTGAATTCACGTACTAAGCTACATTCCCAGCCCTTTTTATTTTTTATATGGAGACCCAGGCATGCTAAGTCGAGTCTCAAAGTAGGACTCAAAATGCTGATCCTCCCATTTTAGCTTCCTACGGCACTGGGATTAAAGGGTTGTGCCACTATGCCTAGCTAAAATAAAATACTGTTTTACTTTAAAAAGTGTATATTCTTTTCACTGTTTAATTTCTCCACTTCATTAATGAAATAACCAGCAGGTTCTTACATTTCCAACTTATCACTGAAAAAATGAAGGAAAACTCTGACTACTATTGAAAAATATAAAGCCATCTGAATCACTGTCTGGATTCCGAAGACTTGATGAATGCTTGGAAGAAACTAATGCGATAAAATATTACACTAAAAATATATCACTGGAATTCCAGCATTTCTTTATGTTTTTTTAACCTCTTTCCTATGACATAAAATGACTGTAAGTGGATAATATTCACAAAAAATAAGAAACCTCAGAAAATTCTGTTAAGATGTCAGGAATTTAAATTTAACATATAATTAAAGACATTTTTACTGTTTTTCATTCAGAAGATTCAGTGGTGTTTTCCCATAACCTACCACTTATTTTTAGAATACTGTTTCATACTTGATCTTAGCCAAAAGGCCAAGAAGTGATAGAATACTGTTTTATTACTATGAAATAAAAAGATGTTTCATATTCCCAGCTCTATAACTGAATTTGTTCATAATCTAGATATATAGTAGTAATTAAAAAAACAAACAAACAAAGCCATACTGGTTTTTGGAGGCATTTTCCATTAGAAAAGTAAATTCCTTCATGAAACGATGGCAGAGCTGATTCTTTTCTGGAGTCCCCGACATCATCGTAAGCCAGACAGGCTCTCCGATTCGTGGCATTGTGTAAAGATTACAAATTGTTATTCTAAAAAGAGGAAGAGATAGTATGTAATTTACAGTTTCTCAAACTACATACTCTTAAAGTTTATGTTGGTAGTTTGGACCATACATCTACTTAAAGTTTTTCAAAAAAGTCAATAAACCAAGTTTTCCTCCTCAGAAATTAGCATAGTAGCATGGGAAATATTTTGTACATGAACTTCAAAGATGTTGTCTATTTCACTTAGTGACTGTACACCCTAGAATAAATTATTTCTCTAACTTAAGCATCAGTTTCTTACACCTGTAAGGTAAGAAAGGACTAAGTAATTTCTAAAGGCCCCTCACTCCAGCTCTAAGATTTTAAAGCACATGCTATATTTAAGTATACTACAAATAATAAATAACATATGTGAAAGAAAGACATTCTAATGGCTGACAGTTCATCTACCTATACAAAACAATAATTTTATCTAATCATTTTGTTGCTTTTAGTAAAGTTCTGTAGGATAAGGACATATATGTTGTATTTTATGACTCTGATCTTCTGTAGTTTTTCCAAATTTATTTTGAGTTTTCTACATAAGTTACTACATAAGTATAATAGTGCTTTCTTAGCTGACCTTTTTATTAATTAGGACAACAGCCAGGCCTGTTACTTGTACTCTCTCCTAAAGACTTTGAAGCATATTTTAGATATCAATTCTTTTCCTTTTATATCAGCATCTATTCAACCAAATCTTCTATGCTCACTAGACTAAGAAAATCTGCAAAACCTGAGGTATAAAAACCTAAAAAATCTTGAAAAAACTACAAAATGGTTACCCTACTTTCTACTTTTAGGAATAGTGTTATCTAATTGACATTTTATTTTTTTATTTATTTTTTTTTTTGGTACCGGGAATTGAACTCGGGTCCTTGTGCTTGCAGGGCAGGCCACCAAACCACTGAGCTAAATCCCCGGCCCTCTAACTGACATTTTAGCACTGTCTGATCTAGTAGCCATGAGCCATTTCTAGCTATTAAACACTCAAAACATAAACTATATGACTGAGGAACTGAATTTTTGTTTATATTAAGTAAAAATGTGTCTGAGGGCTCAGAATGTATTAGACAACACAGCTCTATAAGAAGTTATTTAAGATCTCCAAAAATTGTGCTACCACTCCCTTTTATCCCAAAGAATTCTCTTGCTTGTATAAATTTTACTGAATCTTCAAAAAATATGAACCTAATATATTACAATGAATAGAAGTAACAAATAGGAGTCATTTTCTTAAGTTCTTACTACAGCGTGAAATTACTGCTAAGAATTAAAGGCATTTTAAATGAAAATTTAAAAGTTCTGAAAATAAAGAGTTAATGTATTTTACAGAGAAAATACAACAAGAATGCAAACTGGGGAAAATAAGATCTGGTATGGTGGTGCATGCCTGTAATCTCAGCACTTGGGAGGCTCAGGCAGGAGGATCACCACAAGTATGAGGCCAGCCTAGATCACCCAGTGAGTTCAAGGTCACCCTGAACTCATAGCAAAACCCTGTTTTTTTTTAAAAAAAAAAAAGTTATTAAGGATAATAGATAAACCACTACAACAAACAGAGTTGGAGAGGCACCATTAGAGAAAATTAAAATTCAGAGATTTTTCATGAAATTCTAGAGACAAAACATATAGAAGAATGGTGACTGAAGTAGCAGGGTGGAGAAGCTACGGGTTACTGTCTCACAGACAGGGACATAGACATAGAGGACCTGATCGGCCCCACTAAGGCAAAAAGGGGTAAAGGAATCATAAACGCATGGTAAAGTAGAACACAAGAGTTAAATACACAGGACTGAAAACATCAAAGATTAATTCAGACCAATAAAGAGTTGGTGACCCCTGCACCACCATTCCATTTCTTCACAGAATGACTGTGGTAAAGGGAGGAATACAGCAATTAAATACCTCAGATGAATGACCTCCCTCAAATCTTTCCTAATACATCAATCTGTCACAAAGTATATCTTGTAGTATTAAATGTTCATATTGGAGCATGAAGAGACAACATTTAGAAAAGAAATGTCCACATATGCTCCTACATGAAGTGATAATGAAAAAAGTTTTGAGAAACAGTCTCAAAATGAAACTCTCTAGTCAAAAGTCCCCTGTGAAGATTTGAAACCTCATTCTCAAAGCTACAAATGGGCAACTAAACAAGACCGATATTTAAAGAAAGCCTCCAAGGATAAAGGAGGAGAAACAGAGAAGAACACACATATACTAGACATATGACTCCAGAGAAAGCAATGCATAAAATGAAAGATAAGTTCTAAAGAAAATTCTAATACATACTTTGAAAGATGACAAAAGGATATTTTTCAAGGAAAAAGATCACCTGAAAAAGCATAAATTGGTGCTAAAAGGAAAAAAACTCATTAAAGAAGTAGAATAAGAAAATAATACATTAAAAAAGGGGAAACATTAAAGAGCAATGAAGGAATGCAAGCTTTTTCTTTCCTTTTTTGTTGTGGGGCAAAGTTTATTATTAAAGGTATGAAAAGAAATAGATTCTGCAGAGCAAGTTTGGGCCAAGTAAAAAGTACAAAAAGTGCACCCAACAGCACAAGGGCAGGCCACCACGGACAGAAAATACAGTGGCTAGGAGTTCCGTTTTCCAACAGAAAGCACTCCAGTGGGAAAAAAAATCTGAAGAAAATAAGTTAGCAAGAAAAGGAGGAAATTTCACAAGAGCCAAAAAACAAGACAGTGCTATTAGCTATACCAAGAAGATAAACAGCTAATGAGTCGTAAGGTATACATTCATCTAGTAGGGTAGAAAGTATGATCTAAAAGTGATAAATCAAGACACAGACTTCTGGGAAGATGGCAGAATGCTAAGCAGCAACAAATCAGCCTCTCCAAGATTCAAAATGCAGACCTTGGAAAGTAACAACTTGGGGGGGCTGGGAATGTAGCTTAGTGGTTTCGCTGCCTGCGTTGCAGGCACAAGGACCTAAGTTTGATCCTGGGAGGGTAGGAGAGGGGAAAGAAGAGAACTTGGGAAAAAAAGAAGGAGGTACATTCATGGCACTCACGAAGGATATGGTAGGAAAATGGAAGTCTACAAGAAATTAGAGACAGACTACACATCAGAAAAATGAAGGGGCAATCCCCAGCTCCTGGCTTCTGAGAAAGGTAGATTGAATTTACAGAGGTATAGGGAAAGCAGGCAATGTCAGAAGGCATCAGAGAGAAATGCACCAATGGAACGATTGCTACAGGCAACAACACAGCTGGTGAATAATTCCAGTCCAACCACTTGCCATATCCCCTGGAGAAAGGGCTTGGTTGGACACCATTCTAGGGAGGGACCAGTTGAACCAGGCACTCGGAGCAGCCAGGGATTGGCTTCATCTAAGGGCTCCCACTGTTAAACTCCCACAGTGACTGGTTGAGGGACAACCACAGTAGACATCCAGGGTCAGGGAGCCATGGTTAGCTAGGTCAAGAAGATACCCAGAGTATCATAAGCTAAACAACTGAAGACCCTACCCCCACAACCTGAGGGCAGGTTCAGCCTGAATTTTCGAGGACTTGAAAGTCCCAGAATTGGCACCCTAATCCTATGGCTTGCTGGTAATTTCCAGCACAGAAGTGGGCTGTACCACCTCCTTTCTCTACCAGTGAGAGCAGAGTCACATCTTATACTGGACAATGTCACAACGCTGTCGACCTTAGAAGATAACCACAAGCTTGAAATCAGAGAAATTTATTTTTCTTTGAATTTTCAAAACTATTTTTATTTTTCATGAATGTGAACTCTATTTTAAGTTTTTAAAATTTGTTTGGTTCCTGTCTTCTTTTATTCTTTCCTTCCCTCCGGTCTTCTTCAACACTTTCCTAAGATTTGAATAACCACCCTTGGTCCCTCAGCCTTACTTTTAATCTTTTTCTTCTTTTATCTCTCTCTTTTCCTCTGCTCTTTTAATTTTTTCTCCCTTTAATTACATCTCTCTTATTATTATTCTCTATATAATTTCTTTTTTCTCCATCTCTTATCTTCTACTTCTTCACAGTTTTTTGTCCTACCTTTACCCAGTTCTGTAGACATCCTGCTACTCCCCAATAAAAACCCTTTGTACCACTTCTCTCTCTTCCTTCTCGTATCATGAGAGAGTTAAGGTTTCAACGTTTTTCTTTTGCATACCCCCATTCCCAAACCTGAAACCTTTAACAGTGTAACCATAATGCTTTCTTAATCTTGCGGTAGTTAACTCTGTAAAATGACTGCTGTATTTTTTTCTACTATTAACAGAGATACAGCTGTTGCATCTAGTACATATGAGCTATAAGTCAATACCTGAGTTACCTTAATGTTTACATCATAATTAACAGTTTCTTCTCTAAAAATACGGGTGGAACACATATGATTCTCATGATATATTAATATCTAATTTATCTCAGGCAATACTACTGGAGCTGTTTCACTTGATGTCAATAGGGTCACATAATTGTCACTACTTCTCTGTAAGTCAACACTCAGATTGCCTTTGTGACATTAACAACAGAGTACATTCCCAGAGAACGTGGTTGCTGGACTGACAACAATGCATCTTGCTTTTCCCAAATAACCAAGGTGGTCAAATCCTGGGGCTGTGGCAAAGTATTACAGTTAGTCATGCCCACAGGAAAAGCAACTAAAGAGATCCCTCTATTCTACCAACCAAACCTTTAGACTATAAGCATCCACAAACCTCAGCATGAAACAAAACAAACAAACAAACACAGCAGAAACATGGAAAGAAAAGCAACAGAACGCTTCCTAAAATCTCTAGCTCCTGAGGCAATCCAGAGGGACCAAGGAGCATAACTGTATAAGCCACACACCTGAACTACTCAAAAGCACAGCAGAGGTTAGCAAAAAACTCAGAGATACTTGAGAGGATTAGAGAAGATAAAACTAAATATAAAGTAAATAATAACCAAAAAGATGCAGGAGCTCTCAGAAGACACTGACAGAAAGCTAGATGAGCTAAACAAAAAGATACAAAACATAAATGAAC